TGGCCAGCCTGGGTGAGGGGCTGAGGGCTGTTTTCAAGCTGGCCACACCCCCTTCAGGGTGGGTGTCCCCGCTGGGGTGCCTGGCCAGCCTGGGTGAGGGGCTGATGGCTGTTTGCAGGCTAGCCACGGCTTCTGGTGACCCAAGCTCCCAGCTCCTTTTTATTTTCAGCGCCTCCTTGAGCAGAGAGAAGCAGGTATCTGGGATTTATTTATCTTCTATAATTGAAACTTTGTAGCCTTGAGCGGAGCCCATGGCAGCCAGGGCAGGCGGGAAGCTTGGCTTCCTCCATTGCCGGGGGCAACCCAAGCCTCCTGTTCTCTCCAGCTCCATGGCCACTGCCATCTTGGTTGGGTTAATTTGCATACTCACTCCTGATTGGCTTGTGGGGGGGGCAAAGGTACAGTCAATTTGCATGTTTCTCTTTTATTAGATAGGATGGGGTGTGCCAAAAAATGTGTACACACTTTGAAAAATTGTTCATTCCAGTGGGTTAAATCTGAAAAGAGAGAAACATCAATTGAGCTATCGGGAAAAAAGTGTGTATACATTTTTTGACACATCCTGTATACATGAGAAAAACATACTCCTTCTAGTCAAAAAAATTAGTCTGATTGAAAAGAAAAGAAAATGTCAAAAAGTTAAGGGAAAATATGTGTTCTGCAAAAGAAAAGGGGATAGAGCTGAGGCTATAAGCAGCTGATGAAGTCAAGCTAGAAAGTGATTAATCTAAGTGAAAAACTCCTGCATCCCTTCTTTCTCCACGGAAGATAAATGAAGCAGTTGGAGCAGCAGATTGTAGATTTAGGCAAAGACTGGGCATTCTAACAAGCTCTTTGTCCATGGCGATTTTCTCCTAAACACCAGTTCCTCCACCATTCTTCTTGGACAGACAGATTTACTTTCTTTTTTAAATTTATTTTTATTATTTATTTATTTATTGTGTTTTAATTATAGTTGACATTCAATATTATATTAGTTTTGGGTGTACAGCATAGTGTTTAGATGTTTATGTAACTTATGAAGCAATTCCCCCTGTAACTCTATTACCCATCTGACACCATACATAATTATTACAAGATTATTGACTGTATTCCCTATGCTGTACTTTATATCTCCTAACTATTCTGTAACTACCAATTTATAATTAATCCCTTCATTTTTTTCACCTAATGCCCCCACCCCGTCCCCTCTGGCAACCATCAGTTTGTTCTCTGAATCTGAGTTTGTTTCTGTTTTTAGATTCCACATACATGTGAAATCATATGGCATTTGTCTTTCTCTGACTTGTTTCACTTAGCATAATTACACTGATTTACTTTATATACCTTTTCCCCATCAGTGTCAATTTCAGTTTACATACAGGTGGGTCATTAGTAATTTCTTTTAGGAATAATTATAGAAAAAGGACATAGTAAGAAACATAAGTAAGGACATTTGTGAAAATAAAAAGTGATGGATAACAGTAGAGAATTGAGATTTTTTTTGCAGTGCAGCCTGAGATTTCCAACACATTTTCAGAATTAAAATGTCAAGTTATGGACCAGGATCGAGTTTATTCTGTGCTTATGGAGTGGGTGGGTGAGGAAAAGACACTAGGGAATGAGCAGTGTACTTGAGTAGAAAATACACCTGGTGGTGAGTTTGTATTAGTAAGAAAGCCCAAGTAATTCTACTACCACTATCACTAATAGTACTGCTGTTGCTAACTCTATGTGCCAAGCTATCTTCCAAGAATTCACTGCAACCATATGAGGTTGATGCTTTGTTCATCCCTGTGTTACAAGTGTTATAAGTCCCAGGCAGTAAGGAAGTAAGTAATTTACCTGAAGCCACACAGCTCTAAGTGACAAGCTGGGTTTGAGTCCAAATCTGATCCCAGAAGCACACTCTTACCACCACGCTTACACAGCCTCTCCTGCAAACAAGTGTTTCCAGAAGGTGAGGGACGTGGTCATTCTGAATGGCTAGTGTGTACTTGAATGTGTTGTTTTCATCCTCCTTCCTCTGCTCATTCTGTTTCCCTTGTCTTGATGGTCTCATTCCACATGGCTAACTCTTCATCCTTCAGGCCTCAGCCCAGAGGTCATCCTGCTCTGCACAGCTTTCCAGAACCCTCCTCAAGGGGTGGGGTCCCTCTCGTTGCAGCTTTGCTTCACTTCCACTTGGAGGCCCTGGGTGACCCCTCTCTTGGATGCATCAACAGTGCGCTCTCATAAAGCCTGCGCCTCGCTCTCCCAAGGGGCTCACCACCTTGTCTTCTAATCATTCTTTTATGACTCTGCCTCACCCCCCAGATAGAAACTTCCTGTCATGCTCATTTTTGTGGCTCTCTAGAAACTACCATAGGCCTGGCTCTAATACATGTTTAACAATTTGGGATAGCCAAAAAATAATATGTTTCATGTTTAGAACTTCAGGTTCTTTATTTAGTTGCATAAGAGTTGAGTGACTAAGAAAAATAATTACTGCAATGGCCCTGCTTTAATCTCATCTCATAGCCTTCATTTAAGCACAAGGTTTTATGATCAAAACACAAAAGTCCTTAGCTAGTCTGAACATACGTAGATGATGTTCTTATCACTATTAGAAAAAATGTCCCCCATTACTATCTGAGGGTAATATAGTTGCATGTGTGGCAAATAATCAGATTAATGAATTCTTAAAAGTAAACAAGTCTAGCTTGTTATATCTTTGTTAGGTGAATTTCCAAAGATTTGGGAGGACTTTAACATAAACTCTGAGACTGATTCATAATTCCCATGATAACAACATGGAAGTAGCCCACTAAGCCACTTCAGGCCATGAGGAGATCATTTCTAGTGAGTAAAGTGCTGTTACTTCTGACAAGTGACTTCTCAGGCTAACCTTCTACACACTTAGGATTGATCCTTTTTTAATGAGCTCTTGTAAACCTGTGGGTGTATAAGGGATGCAGACCACTAAAGCAAGTGAGAAATCACAGCTGCTCAACGGTCAGGTTAACAAGACATGATGTAAACTTTCCTGACTTCCAGTTATTTTACATGGTATATTTTATTACTTAGAGATTCATATAATATTTACTTCTATTGCAAACTGCTAGTCAAAGCAGTAAAAAAAATGCAAAGCAAACAGTTCATGATTCGAAATAACATGAACACAATTCTCTTCATTGCTAGTGAATAAAATGAACTTCAGTAATGGAAACATCTTTTATGTTAAAGTAATTTTGTTGGCAATGCCTTGAGCATTATTGGTCTAATGTGAGATCTTACTTCCCCATTAACTTATAGCCATTCTACTTGATGATTTGCAATACTCCATTTGAAGGAAATAAAAATCACACTCCTTTTGAGGCATGTTAACATTCACCAAATGTTAACTGCACATCTTTTTTTTTTCTTGCCATTTTTGTGCAGGATACTGGGATTGCCAGGTAGGCACTCATTCTACTCTCTTGAAGCTTACCATCTAACAAAGGGAAAAACAACAACAATGATGACAGCATTGCAATGCATTATAATAGAGAGAGGCATAGTCAGAATGGAAGAGGCATCTGAATTAGGGGTTAGGAAAGGCAAGGCATAAGGAATGGAAAAGCATAAGGAAGGTTCCCCAGAGGAGATGCTGAGCTGAATTGAGGTTAGCAAGGGAATAAAGAGAGGAAGGGTGCATTAGTTTCCTAGATCTGCCATAACAAAATACACTAACTGGGTGGCCTACCACAGCAACAATTTATTTTCTCATTGTTCTGTAGGCTGGAAGTTTAAGATCAAGGTGTTGGCAGGGTTGGTTTCTTCCAGTGGCTCTGAGGGAGAATCTGGTCCATGTCCTTCTCCTAGCTTTGGGTGGCTGCCAGTAACCCTTGGTGTTCCTTGGTTTGTAGATGCATCACTCCAGTCTCTGCTTCTGTCTTCACAGGACCTTTTCCCCTATGTCGGTGTGTATGCCTAAATTTTTCTCTTCTTATACCAGTCATATTGAATGTAGGGCCCACCCTAACCCAATCTGCACTTGATTATATCTACAAAGACCCTATTTGCAGTTAAGCTCACAGATTCACAGGTTCTGGATGGGCCTGAATTTTAGGGAACAGTATATAACCTAGTACAGAAGGCATTCAAGGAACAGGACGCATCCTGGAGGAAGGTGGAGAGGTTTTGATCAACCACAGGTCCTTCTCAGTGGTTGGATTGAAAGGCAATGAGGATCCAAAAATGTTAGGAGGGTTAAGAGGTAACAGGAGCCTCATCACAAAGAGCTTGTGTGCCAAGCTCAGGAATGTGAGCTTCCTCAGGAAATCTGTGGGTGTTACTGAAGGATTTTGATTCTGAGAGTTCCATGATCATATTTGCATTTTAGAAAACCCTCCAACAGCAGTGTGGAGAATTGAAGAAGGTACAGATTGGAGGCAGAGAGATTATATAAGAAGCTCTTGAAATAATTATGGCAAGAAATGGTAAGTACCCATATTATATCAGCAATAGGAAGACTAGAGAGAAGGTGGTAGATGGAGATATTAAAAAGGAAAGACGTAGCCCTAGACTGATTGGCTCAGTGGATAGAGCCTTGGCCTGAGGACCAAAGGGTCCTGGGTTTGATTCTGATCAAAGGCACGTACCTTGGTTGCAGGCTCTTCCCTGGCGTGGATCCTGGTCGGGGCACGTACCGGAGGCAACCAATCGATGTGTTTCTCTCACATCAATATTTCTCTCTGCCTTTCCCTCTCTCTTCCACTCTTGCTAAAAGATCAATGGGAAAATATCCTCAGGTGAGGATTAACAAAAATAAAAAGATAAAAAATAAAAAAGAAAGATGTATAAGACTTGGTAGTTAGTTAGATATTAGGAATTAGAAGAGAGGAAAGAGTGGCTTTGAAGTTTCTGGCTTATGTGAGGATACGGAGGTGACATGCACTGAGATTACTAAGAAAGAACATGTTTAGAGGTAGAGTGGATGAGTTTTTGGACATATTTAATTTGAGGTATCACTAACACATAAGCAGAGAACTGCTATTTTGAAGATTGATAGACAGTTCTAGCTGGAGATGGATTTCATATTCATGACATATAAGTAATTGTATTCCCCAGGATGAGTATAAAGTGAGAGGAGCGAGTCTGGGAAATGCCAACGTTTAGGAAATGAACTGAGGAAAAAGAACCAAAATATGGCAATAAGGAGGAGACTTGAGAAAAGAGGAAAACCAAGTGAGAGCACATCAGAGATAAGATAACTTCCACAAAGACAGTGCTCAGAATGTCAAATGCTGGAGAAAAGTAAACACATATGAGAAGAGGAAAGTGTTTACAATCATGTATCACTTCACAATGGGGATATGGTCTGAGAAATAGGATGATTTTATTGTTATAGAACATTACAGAGTACTTCCATAAGCTTCTGGTATAGCTTACTACACACCTAGGCTACAAAATGTTATAGAATACTACTGTATGAATAGTGTAGGTAATTGTAACACAATGGTAAGTATTTGTTTACCTAAGCATATCTAATCATAGAAAAGGTACCGTAACAATACAGTGTAAAAGACAGGGCACTTGCTATGAATAGAGCTTGTAGAACTGGAAGTTGCTCTGGATGAGTCAGTGAGTGAGTGGTGAGTGAATGCGAAGACTTAGGACATGATGTGCACTACTGTAGACTTTATAAACACTGTACACTTAGGCTACACCAAATTTATAAAAAATATTTTTCTTTAATAATAAATTAAACTTAGCTTACTATAATTTTTTACTTTATAACCTTTTTAATTTTTTAACTCTTTTAATGACATTTAGCTTAACACTCACTTAGCTGTACAAAAATATTTTCTTTTTGACATCCTTATTCTATAACCATATACATATATATGTACATATATATACATATATATACATATATATGTACATATATATGTATATATATATGTATATATATATATATTACCTTTTAAACATTTTTGTTAAAAACTAAGACACAGACACACACATTAGCCTAGGCCTACACAGGGTCAGAATAATCAATACCACTGCCTTCCACCTCCACTCTTATCCCACGGAAGGGCTTGGGGAGCAGGAACACAATGGAGCTGTCTTCTCCTACAATAGCAGTGTCTTCTTCTGGAACACCTCCTGGAGGACCTGCCTGAGGCTCTTCTGGAGGAGGTGTCACTCTTCAGAACTATGTCCATGGTGGCTTGCTTGGTTTGTGTGGGTTTTGTGTTTTTTTTTTCATTATAGATTTGTTTATAAGCAGATAATAAACTGTGAACATTCTTCTCTATTCATGAAAAAATTTCAGTGTTGGAGTTTATGTTTTCAAACTTTTAAGGAGCTTGTTGAGGTCTGCAAAAGCTTCTGCTAACCCCTTCACTGTGAATTTTCTTGGGGGGAGTTCTTCTTTAGCTTCTCCTGCCTTTTCTTCAGTTATGCATTCTTATTCTAGTTCTAGCAACTCCTCGTTAGTCAAATCCTCAGAAACCATCTGTAGGAGCTCATCAACTTCATCCTCATCCACCTCTAGGTTAAAGTTGTTTGCCATCTTAAACACAGCCTTGTTAATTTTTGCAAACTCCTCATTCTCTGCAAATCCTTTGTAGTTATGGACAAACCTCTTGAGTGTCTTCTTCCAGATGCCATTACTGCACTCCTTGGCAACATCACCCAAAGCCTTAGCAAGGTTCCCGAGGCAGTCATAGATATTATAATCTTTCCAGAATTCCATCAGAGTCCTCTCGGTGTCCTCCTTGGTTGCAACCATAGCCTTGGCAAAGGTCCTCCTCATGTTGTAGGCCTTAAAAGTTGATATAGCTCCTTGATCCATTGGTTCAAATAGGTGGTATCTGGAGGGAGAAAAACCACTTTGATGTTGAGATAAAGATTACCAATATGCCCTGGCCGGTTTGGCTCAGTGGATAGAGCGTTGGCCTGCAGACTCAGGGATCCGGGGTTCGATTCTGGTCAAGGGCATGTACCTTGGTTGCGGGCACATACCCAGTAGGGAGTGTGCAGGAGACGGCTGATCGATGTTTCTCTCTCATCGATGTTTCTAACTCTCTATCCTTATCCCTTCCTCTCTGTAAAATATCAATAAAATATATTTAAAAAAAAAGATCAACAATAAAAAGAGGATTTCCGGAAGCATTATCAACAATAAGCAAAATATTGAAAGGTATGTTGTTCACCAAACAGTACTTCTCCATTTCACTGGCATAGCCATTGAGGAGGGCATCTTGGAAGAGGAGCTGAGTTATCCATGACTTCTTATTGCTTCTGTGGTATACTAGCTTAATGGAATGCTTGAAGACCTTGGGGTTCTCACGGTGCCAGATCACAAGGTTTTCCATTTGTAGCTTGCAACATTGCCCCCAAGCAAGACTTATTCTGTTCTTAAATGCCTTGAAACTTAGCACTGGCTTGGTCTCATTATGAGTGAAAGCCCTTCCAGGCGTCCGTTTCCAGAATAGACAGGTTTCATCCATATTGAACATTTGTTCTGGCAAGTAATTTTCCCCCATAATCAGCTTATCTAGAGTTTTCCAAAATTCTTCAGCTGCCTCCACATCAATACTCTCAGACTCACCACTCACTTTCACTTTATAAGAGTAACGATTCTGGGAATCATTTAAATCACCCAGAGCTAACAGTAAATTTAGTGTCATAACTGAGTGCAGACTTTTAACATTGCAAACAGACTTGTGCTTTGACTATGATCATCATGGTGCTAAGAGGAATACACTTCTGTGTCTGGTCTTCAATCCAGGCCATTAGGAGTTTCTCCACATCTCATACAGGCCCTTCTCAAATTTTTATTATTCTTGTTGCCTTCGATGAAGTAGATCCTTTAACAGCTTCTATCACTTTGTTCTCGTTCTACAAGATCAAAGCTATGGTGAAATGTGACATGCTTGACAGACAAGCAGTAACCATCAGTGATTTTCCATCTTCGTAGTCCTAATCACTGTTAATTTCATTTCCAGGTTAAATATTTAATGCAGCCTCTTACTGGCAACATTAGCAGTGAATTTTGTACACTTAAGGGCCATGATGAACAATACAACACGAGTTTAAATCAACCGTGAAAGAAAATGATGCAATCAAGAGACGCAGTAAACACAAGATGTATGAGGCTCCTGCCAGCATAAAATGGCATACCGTTTTACAGTAACCTTTTTTTTAATAAGTAGAAAGAGTACATTCTAATGTATCTATTTATAGCATAGTAAATACGTAAAACATTAACATAGTCATTTATCATTATATGTAGTGTACAGAATTGATGTGCCATCCTTTTATACAATTGGCAGCACAATACGTTTATTTATACCATTACCACAAACACGTGAGTAATGCATTGTGCTATGACATTTTGATGGCTATGACTAGGCAGTAGGAACTTTTCAGCTCCATTATAATCTTATGGGCCTACTGTTGTATATGTGGTTCATTGTTGACTGAAACGTCGTTATGTAATGCATGACTTTGTTTTGGCAAAATCCAATCATCGATGACTTTAGCAAGGGCAGTTAGTGGAATGGCAGGAAGGACAGGAAGAAACAAGGTGATAATAGATTTGGGAGTGACTGTGCAGGAAAGAAGGGGTATAGGGAATGTAGACTGTCTTTTTTAGAAGTTGGATTGTGAGGCAAATCAGAGATATATAGGAATCAATAGCTACATGAGGTTAAGGAAGCGTTTTCCCCTGATGATAGAGGTTTGAGCATGCTGTGAGCCAACTCAAGTGGGAAATATGGGCTCTACATAGTGGCCTTGGGGTAGGGTATAGGAGAGAGGAAAGAAGTAGAGACACTTCTTCCAAATAAAGGAGTCTACTGAGAACATATTCTTAAGGCAGTTGAGGGATTTTTCACACAGTTGCCATTGTGAACTTTTTAAAACATGAATAAAAATAAGGACACATATGTAATACCTTAATTAATAAAAAATATACATATTTTCTTCATGCTTTATGTAATGAACATTTTTTTGTTGCCCACCCACTTTTATCTCCTCTTGGAAAACTGAGTCTTCCCCTTGGTGTGCAGCCTTAGTAGAATTCTCAAAGTGTCCTGCCCTCACCTAGGCAAGGGCCAACTGAGCCTCTCTTCCAAGATATTAAATCTGGAGACTTTAACTGATACTAGGGTTTCAGAATGGAGTGTGGTTATTAGAGTTCATTTATTCCAGTGACAGTTCTCTTCTATGCCCTGCCCCTCAATTCTATGGCAACCCGTATACTTGGCTGTGGTACCTTAAATTCTGAACCACAAAACTTGGGTTCAAATTCAGGTTTGGACACATACTAACTGTGAAATCTGGATCAAGTTAGTTAACTTCTGTGTTCTTGGTTTTCATATTTGTAGAATGTGACTTGTAATAGTGCCTACATATAGTCATTTGTCACATGACAACATTTCAGTCAATTATAGACTACATCAAAAAACTAAATAAATGGAGAGATATT